ATAAAAGTTTCTTTTGGCATTTTGATTTCCACTTTGGAAATGGTTCTATTCGTTCATATATTCCTTAGGGTAGAGGCATAACTTAAAAATTCTATTCAAGAATAAAATAAGCTGTTTTTATTCAAATGTTAAGAACAAATTATAAAGAAATGCATCAAACAGAAGTGCTAGAAAATCAAGTTAAAAATAGTTCAACAATATATTTATTTATTAATCAATGGAAACGGGATTAGAGAACAGGAAATCGTGGTACTTGGGTGTATTGATAAAATGCAAACAATCTTCATTTAAGTTGTACAAACACGTGGATGATCCAGTTTTAATACAATACATTAAATGCATATAAATATACAATGGCAGCAGTTTGTTCGTGTTCGACGTTTCGTCGATATATATGGAGCGAACGGCTTCCCACGAAAAATGAGCTGGCTCGCCATTTTGGTTGCAATTTTTCGACCCACACGCTACCAGCAGAATTAACTTCTGTATTCGAAAAACAGACATGATTCGAAATCACGAGAAATGAGTTTAGCGGTATTATTACGAATTTGGAAATTTGTTTGTTTCGTTACCGGAGTTCTGGGTCAAATTAAACGGATGTCTTTCCTTTTTTGGTTTTTGATTTATGATAACCGATGGATTTTCATTAACAAAGGAGTAAATGTTTGTATTGGCAGTTCTTTTTAATGATTAGTCAACTTTGCTTGTTTCCTAAAACATCTGCTCGCTCGGAAGAATAATGTTTTTCATGTTAACCAAGATAGCTACGTCCGTTTCATAGATTATAATAAGGTGTTTGATAAGCTGCATCACAAATAGCTTATGGAAGTCTTCAAACTAAAACAAATATACTAAAACAAGTAGACAAATAGAAATATACACCTTCAAATCATACCAAAATATATTATAAGCAACTATAGTCATGGACCAAAGAAGTCGTTTTATGAAGACCTAAGCTGACTGCGATTCTAGACCACAGGCAGCAACAACTTTTTTTTGAGATTACCAAAACATATCCACTAGACCTGTACAAGCTAAAATATGATTCCAGCATTCTGATATGAGCTAGTTAGCTGTAGGTTTATAATAGACTGCTTCCCAAAAATGGCTTTTCGTTACTATTCTCGGTAGGCAGCTGACAGTTACATTCAAAAATTGCTGGTCTATACAGTTGCTTTAATGTCATTTATATTTTTCTTGTAAAAGCAAGATTACAGTTAAGTCACAATGAAGTCACAAATTAATTACAATATTAAAAGATAAAGGAGTTGATAGTCAAGACATACGATTCATAGAAAAGTAATACTGGCGTCAAACAGCGACAGCTTGCATAAACGGAAAATCAACAGAAATATGTAAAATACAAATATGTGTCAGACAGGGTTGTATACTATCCCCACTGATATTTAATTTATATTCAGATAGAATATTTAAAGAAGCGCTGCATAATTTGGAATGGGGCGTGAAAGTTAATGGAATTCTGATTAATACAATCAGATATGCAGACGATACAATTATTTTAAGTGATGACATGAATGGATTACAATGCCTTTTAAATGCCATTGATACAGTGGGAAGAGAGTTTGGCCTAAACATAAACTGTGCAAAAACAAAACACATGGTGTTTAGCCGTTTAGCACATCAAGATGCACGATTATATGTTGATGGTCATATAATTCAAAGAGTGTCCAGTTTTAAATATCTTGGTTGCCATATTACTGAACAACTAGATCCAGATCAAGAGATAAAATGTAGAATCGAGATAGCCTGCACGACATTTTTAAAAATGAGGCCATTTTTCTGTAATGATAACTTGCAACTTCAACTTCGAAAGCGCATAGTTAAATGCTACATTTGGTCAGTTCTCTTATACGGTGTCGAAGCATCGACATTAAAAATATCCACCATTCATCGTCTGGAGGCCTTTGAAATGTGGCTGCACAGACGTATACTAAAAATTCCATGGACGGCTATGCTGACAAATGTGGCAGTCCTTGAGAGAGCAAATGCTGCTCGCGAGCTGCTTGATAACATCAAATGTAGAAAGATGGCCTATTTTGGACACGTATTAAGGCGAGACCGATATAATATTCTTCAACTTATTATGATGGATAAAATCGAAGGACGCAGAGGAATTGGTAGAAAGCAGGCCTCTTGATTGAAGAATATCAGGGGTGGACAGGAATAAAGAAAGCTGAGCAACTATTTAGAATAGCTCGAGACAGAGACAGTTTCGCCATGTTAATCGCCAACGTCAAGGGGACTTGATAGGGCACGTTAAGAAGAAGAAAAGCAAGAGGGTATAAAGATTTTTTGGAGTGGCTTGTTAAAATTCTAGCCCATTTAGCGATACCAGAGTGCACGGGTAATATTTTACCATATAAGCGAGCAATCTTAACCCAAGGGACAACGATGAAACTTTTAATGGTATTCTTCTTCTAGTAGTTTTAAGCGATTACGATGATTTTCTAACTAATGGATGAATGAATGTGGATTGCCAATGAACGCATCAATTAATGATATCTGGAGGGTGAAAACTCTAGATATCTATAGTGCGTAAATGTACTACTACAGACACAAATTAGTTATATAAAGAAATAATTACGAACAAACGTGACTTGCCTGATTAAGACTTTAATGGACATATTTTACCTCTTTTTATAATCCAAAGATTTTGATTTGCGTCAATATTATCTCTAGCATAATCATAACTGTTTTTTATTATTTTAATATGTCCTATAAAATAGCTGATTATGGATATTTGCCCCGGTTGCGACTGGTATTAACAAGTTTTACAACGGCATTTTATTAGATACTGAAATGTCCCAGCGAATTCACACATATTTTTAAGGCTTGTTAGATTGTGACGTGTCTTCAGACTTGTCTAAAAATCATCCTCGACTCAACAATTGTATTGAAATGAGATGGTAATAAAAGTGTTGTTGCCAATATAAAACCCACAATAATGACCTAAAGAAGATTCCGATGACCATACTCAGTGGCGTAGTATGATTATTTAACTATAATTCGACCTTTGGTTTGGACAATTCATTATTACTTTTTATTTTGTAGATATTTTACTTCAAAATTAAAACAGGATTTAAATAAAAAAATTTTATTAAAAAACCTTTATAAAAGGTATATATTTAAAAACCCCAACGGGATAATTAGACAAGACGTTTTCGGAATCCATATTCCATCATCAGTGTCTAGGAGTACATGAATGTAGCCACTAAATATATGGGTAAAAACCCGTTAACAAATAATTAGTTACATTTGGTTTACAGTATTTCTTATAATATGTTAAGATGTTAAAGTTACCGTTGGATAAGGTAACATGGCGACATATGACTTCACGTTGAAGTTGCTACTCCTGAGACGGTGTGTCTACAAGGTGTATGGAAGCAACTCATACATATTGTTTTACCAAGACAATACACCGTGTAACAAGTCTATTAATAATGGCAAAAAATGCACAAATCGGACTTTAAATTGCTTCCACGCCGATCGTATAGTCCAGACCTTGCCCTCAGGGACTACCACCAATCTTTTTCCTGTCTAAAAAAATGCTTGGTGGCAAGAGATATTGCTCGAAATTGATGTAATCGCCGAAATTTAAGTCTATTTTGATAATAATTCGTTTTACAAGGGCGGCATCGCAAATAAGAAAAGAGTTGGAATTATAATGGAAATAAAGAATAAGAAAATAATGAAAATATGGAAAATATGGAAAATATGGAAAGCTGAAAGAATAATTTTTGAAAAAAAAAGTTTAGTTGGGCCCTGGACTTATTACCCACGAACTTAATTTTCTAATAATATTCGTATATAATAAAACTACGAGTATACTAATTAAACTAAAAAAATTACAAGATTCAGTAAAAATATTGCTGGATTTTCTGTTGCAAAAACAATGTCAAGAGCAAAAGATCTAAAGGTTTCATCCCTTTTCAACCCTTAATCAAACTATCAAGCTCAAAACTCCACCACTGACCGTACCCATAAAATCACAGTTGTACAGAGATACAAAACTTGTATCTACGCCTACTGAGATCTACTTAAACCAATTAGAGATTGAAAAAATACGTTCTACCAATTGCGAGGGAATTTTTCCCGTAATTTATTCATCAATCCTCCAAGAATTATGTTACCTACTTATTACTTTTAATGAAGGTTACTTGTGTACTTACGTATACCAGAGACAGGGACTGATTTTTTCTGGCGGGGATTGAAGAGAGTACTATTTAATTACCACCATCATCATCATCCTCATATTGCAGTTTATTCGATCACTGTTACGAATTAGCTTACTCTAGTTCCCTCCATTGGCATTTATCCAGTTAACTGTTAATGGTTCAGCTGTATGGGCGGTCTTTTGCCTATTCTCTGGTATGTTCAATCATGTCTTAGGGTAGCCTGTTTTTGTCATTCTGGCAATAAGTTGATTTATATTTTTTTATTGTAATAGTCTTAATTTTTATTTTATTTATACAGTGTGTCACGAGTGGGATGCCCAAGAGATAAAAAATATTCTTATTTTTTTTTATATTCGTATTTTTTTGAAAAATATCATTCTTATAAAACGTTTTGCTTTTTAAATATTCTAAATGTGTTCTCCTGGTGCAATTGAATGGCTGTGCAATTTGAACATTAATATTTAATATTTAACTTAGGTTACAATTCCAATTTGAACATAATTATTATCTAAATACTACTTTTATCGTATTGTAATTATCCATACGCTAAATAAATAAAATAAATATTCTAAATTCTAGAAAAATAAAATTCAAGTTTAATAAAACCTGCTTTATTTTAAAGTCAACTAGCTGTATCATATTTGGGTCACATAATGAGGAGTGAAACCAAATATAAATAATTATTAAAATAATATCCTTTCTAAAACATTTTGCAACATTTACCACATGACTATTCAGGGCAGCAACAAATAAAATTATCATTGCCTGAATGTTTGCTAACATTCGATAATAGATGGGTACTAGATGCAGAAGAAGCTGTGCCCTGCTGTGAAAGATTGTGAATACATAGGTGAGAAATAAGGAACAAAATAAAGCATATGTTTTTTATAATTTTCATTTTGCAATACTTGTGGCTGTACATTACAGTTTTTCCATTGTCTTTTTCTTCTTTCTTCTTGTATGTAGGCTTCAAAGAAAGTTTCTTCTTTAATATTAACCTCCTAAATTATCGCATCATGTTTTTCTTGGTCTGCCAATAATTCCTCGTCTATTCTGCCTATTATGGTGTATGACAGTGAGTGTGGTCACTTAAATCAAAGAAGAATAATAAGCTTAGAGCTACAGAAATGGACTTCTAGTCAAAATCGAGAGGAAGATCTACCACAGAAAAAATAACTACTAAAAATTTAAGATAAGCAATAAGAATTAATTAAAAAATCATAGAGGACATCACAAAACAATCAGTTGTTGTAGTATAGACACGTAGTGTGTATGGACAGAAGTAGAATCTCAAAACGAGTCCTAGAATTGAAGTCATTCAGGAGAAAAAAGACAATAAAGATCTAAAATTATTTAAAATTATAATAATAAACGTCAGACTTTTCACTCACAACTCCTTCCACTGATCTCTATCCTGTGCAACATACTTCCAATTTGTTTTGCCTATTTTTTATGTCATCTAGCCATCTCATCTGTGGTTTTCCTCTTGATTGTCTACCTATGTAGAGTCTGCAATGTTGTACCGTAGCGTTCCAACGTTGGTCCTTTCCTCTAGCAGTATGGCCTGCAAGGCTTGATTTGAGTTTGGTAGTTTTTATTGTGATATCCTCGACTTTTGTTTTTGACCTTACTTAGTCGTTCCTCTTCCTACCTGATAATTGTATACCTAGCATTGTTTTTTCTCTTGTCCTTTGTTTTGTGACCAGTTTGTTCATGTTTGCCTCGTGTAGGATTTAGGTTTGACTTTTATATGTCAGGATAGGAAGGATGCACTGGTTGACCACTTTGCTCTTGCTGACCTTGCTTTAAGCTTGCTCCTTAAGTATTAGGTATTTTGCGGTGTTTCAGTACTCAACTGGCTTGGAAGCATAAACATTAAAACAATTACATCTAAATAAGTTGAACCGTCTTTAAATTTTGGTGTTACAGAAGAATCATACGAATATAGTGGACTTAAAAAATGTCAAAGGCAGAAGTTACTAGAAAAATAGGAAATGAAGCTGAAATAATATTAACTATCAAAAGAAGAAAACTTGAGTACTAAGGCCATGTTATGAGAGAGCAAAGATACTCGTTATTGTAGCTTATTATGCAAGACATAATTCGAGGAAAGCGAAATGTGGAAAGACGAAGAATATCGTGGCTTAAGAACTTGAGGGAATGGTTTGAATGCAGCAGTGCAGATCTATTTAAAGCGGGAGTCAACAGGGTCTGCATAGCCGTGATGATTTCTAACCTTTGATAGAAGATGGAAGAAGTACTCAACTGAGTTTTCAAAATCCTGCTCATGCTAGTCATGATCTTCTAGTGATTTACCCACTTTAGTTTTCTTTGCCATTTATAGTTATACGTCTGAGGTAGTTATCTGTATTTGTCATTGTTTTTGTTTTGTGTGGGAGCATTATTGCTCATGTTTGTTCATGGTCCTATCGAGAAACAGAATACTTCAAGGAAGTTTGAGAGAGCCTATACAGTCCACGCCAGCAACACCCTCAGTAGCAGAGAGAGACCACTAGACCTGGGAGAACGAGAGCGGTAACAAAGCCGAGAGCCCTACTAGAGCCGAGAGCAGTACCAAAACTTATATAAAACTAATATCTCTTGCCTAGAGAAGCATTCAATCAATACTCACTCAACAAACTTGATAGTCTTCAGCGATCAACTGCAACAGTCTCTACTCAAAGTAATCCCGGGTCAACACCCATAATGTACGTCTCATCAATAAACTCTGATACTATTATTTGGTGTTTCCATTACAACTGAATGAACATCTCCACTGAGCCAATGAAGGGGAATTGTTGATGGTTCAATCAATATTCACTCAACAAACTTGATAGTCTTCAACGATCAACTGCAACAGTCTCTACTCAAAGTAATCCCGGGTCAACACCCATAGTGTACGTCTCATCAATAAACTCCTACTACTATTATTTGGTGTTTCCATTACAACTGAACGAACATCTCCACTGAGCCAACGAAGGGGAATTTGTTCATGGTTCATGGTTTAAGGGGACTTTCTTTGTAGTCTTTAGGGATTTTGAGACACTTTACTATCGAGACTGTCTGGCTTATTTTTAAAAACGCATCATGTTTCGAAGTTTTATTATTTTTTAGCTCTCCTAAAGACCTTTCTATTTCTCACCAGGATTCCATGGTACTTATTTTGTTTTGAAGTTATCTTTTATTGATTTATTTACTGGCTTTTTTAGCTTTACAAGGTTTTGTAGAATACTCTAACTATATTTGTAATATCTCTCCTTTTTATTGGTGTCTTTAGTTTTGATAATCTTCTGATCACCCAGTGTTGTTCCTAAACATTTTTAGCCTCTGTTGCTTTCTCTGACTTGCTCTTCTAAGTTCTCGTTCCATTTTTTTATATCGCTTAGTTCTTTTTTAATTGTGTTATTAAGTTCTGCGTATGCTTCAGTATGGCGCTTGTTTCCCACTAGTAGTTGTTTGTTTTCGTTCATTAGTTGCTTAGTTTCGTTTCTATTTTTGTCTCCTTCAGTTCTTGTTTTTTTCGCAACCAGTAGTTCAGCTTCCAGAAGGTTTTTATTAAGTTTTAAACATCACATATTTTTAAATAATTACAGATTTTAGGTAATTTATAACTTTTTGTCATCGTGTTTTTACTATTTATATGTGATGTCATTAATTCAATGACGTGCAACCAGTAATTGGTTTGCTTGTAATTGTATTATACACAAAACAAAATATATCAACTTAGAGTCTTCGGGCCGAAGTAGTTTTAATGCATAAAATAGTCATTAGAGAATAATTCAATTACGTTCTCAATAAGACATCATCTGGTGCGTTCATTTGTTTAGCGCAACCTGCGTTAATAACGTCTGTCCAGAAGTGTACGTTAAGTTAATGAACTTCTTCTGTAATTAACTTGATAAATTTGTTGTCTAGATGATAGCCATCTTATTTAAGGTTAATAAATATTTCTGATTGGATACCTACATTTATTAAACATTTCTTAGTAGTTGGATTATAAGCAGAATCATCTTTTTTGCTAAATAAAAGAACATATATTTAGTGGAGAAATACTCGATGATTACTGAAAATATAAGATAAGGAATTAGACTCAACTTACACAATAATTCTGAAGCAATTTTTTTGTCTGATCGTAGTTGTATTATATATTTATGTCATCAAGCACTTGTATTATTAGCTACATTGTGACTTAATACATCGATATATAAATCTACAAAAATATGCAACAATAACATTATACCGGCTGGTTGTCTTCATTTTAACACTTTTTTTTTAAACAAAAAACAGGCCATGTATTCACCAATATTTAAGATGCATTATATATTGATTCACGAGCATAATAATAGTCACTATGAAATGAGAATTAAACTTCTTCATATTAGACTCTTCATTTCTAAAGGTGGGCAAAAATTCTCACAAAATCTTTTCTACAGCTTTCAATATGGATTAAGTATCTCGGCTTGTCCACTCTTTGATGTTTTTTAATTTTCAACCATGAACATCTTCTCCTAGCTGGACCTCTAATTCCTTGAATTTTTTCCTTCATTATTAACCTCAAAAGCTCATAATGTCTTTTACGATTTAAAAGTTTTAGATGACTTGATTTGCATTTATTGATAAAATTAAGAAGATAGCTCAGAATTTGGCCAACTAACGCAATTAAATGCTTTCTGATAGTCTACGAAATATAATATAATAAGAAGGCATGTATTGAATATGTTATTGTAAATATTAACAATATCTAAACAAACTTGAGATTATGAATCTCCATTTTAATCATATAAATATATATTATATCAAATATATATATATATATATATATATATATATATATATATATATATATATCAAATATATTAAATATCAAAAGTTAAAATAGGAAATAAGGTTACTAATGGTTTTCAGGTAACAAAAGGACTGAAGCAAGGTTGTTGTTTATCTCCCATACTATTTAATATATATATCGACGAAGCACTCAGGCAATGGAAAAAGAAGTGTAAAGGGATGGGGCTGTCTATTGGGGATGAAACGTTATACACGCTGCATTATGCAGATGACCAGGTAGTTATTGCCCAAGACAAGGAAGACCTAGAGTATATGGCTAGAAAACTAATGGAAGAGTACAAAAAATGGGGCCTCGAAGTAAATTTACAAAAAACGCAATATCTTTGCATAGGAGGAGAAAATACTGCAGATGACCTCGACTTAGAAGACGGGAAAATTAAGAAATGCGATCAATGTATATATTTGGGGGTAAAACTAACAAAGACAGGAAGAACTGATGAAGCCATAAAAGACAGAATAACCAAAGGGAAACGAGTTATAGGTGCATTGAATTCAGTACTATGGCAGAAAAATATAAGACCGGAAACGAAAAAAAGAATATATAACACAATATTGAAACCGGTAATCGTGTATGGCTCAGAAGTATGGCAGTTATCACAAAAACTTAAAGGTAACCTCTTGGCAGTTGAAATGGATTTTTGGAGGAGAGCAGCGGGAAAGTCTCGATTAGAACATGTGAGAAATGAGGACATAAGAAATCAAATGAATGTACAAAGATCAATTATAGAAGACATCGAAAAACAACAACTGACATGGTACGGACATGTTAGACGTATGGGGGAAGAAAGACTACCAAAAAAAATATTAGAATGGGTACCACCAGAGAAAAGAAAACGAGGACGACCACCAACAACATGGATGCAAGGAATTTCAAAAGCCATGTCAGCAAGAAATCTATTTGAAGAAGACTGGCAGAATAGACAGGCTTGGCGAACGGGAACCCAAAGGCGGATTACGCTATAAACGGGATATATATATATATATATATATATATATATATATATA